CACCATTCTCAAAACAATGTCTGCTGGAAGCTAGTAACTTATATCTTACTTTTTATAAAATTAAGCAATTGGCCCCCTGGCTAAAAGTCTCCCTGAAGTGCCAGGTCCAGACTGGGTTTCAGGCCTATTCCTCTAAAAAGAAAGAGATTTATTTTGTCTATTAAAATTCCAGTTATCCCTCATCCAGCTACTACTAATTGGGTCTGTTACAGCAAAATGGCAGACCAAGGGATTGAGATTTTAATCATACAAGATTCAGATCTAGGACTTGGAACTCAAGAATACTTCCAATTCAGTGTCTCTTCTCCAAGCTGAGGCAGTCCTATGCCCTATTTTGACAGGAAGTTATCACAGTCATAGTTGCCCTGTCCCCTAAATTAAAACTGAGCAGGACTCTGTGGGGTGGCGACTCTGGAGTACAGATCTGCTGTGTGTTCTCCATTTCTTATCTGTAGGATATAGGCTTCATTCAGCCTCCTTGACCTTCCCTGAGTTCCAAAGGGTGGATTCAAACGATTGTTAATCAGGGAAGGGAGGGAATACAGAAACAGAGGAGAAACAATCAAATGGTGGCATAGCCTTGAGACAGGGTCCTAGTTCCTACTCAAATAAATATGCATAACAATGTCTTTTGAGTTCTTCTACAGAACTGGAGCCCCCACCCAGGTGGAGGATGGTAACTTCAGACTAAACACAAGATTCCTGGAGCACAGCTCTGTTGCTTCACCACCAACCAATCAAAAAAAAAAAAGTCACAAACCCTGCAGCCCTCACCCCAAATGTTGCCTCCTGTTTCTGGGGACCAGTGATGACCATCTTGTTTGGTCTCCTGTTTGGCCCCTGTCTATTTCATCTCTGAGAGGCGCCAACAGTTTCAAACTAAATTGCTGTTATTACAAGGGTGAAAGCTGGTTTCAGATGTGGAATACCCCAACTTAGATCAGGTAGAGAGAGACTTCTGCTCTGCTAGGCAGGCCTACACCCATACACAGCAGGAAGAAGTTACAGAAGAAAGAGACCTCCGCCCCAATTCCCAAGAAGTATCTTGAGTATGAAGTCTCTCAGTGGGGAGTTGTTAGGGGAAGCACACTGATTGAGACCGCCCACCCTGGCCAGGCACCATAGTAACCATTTGCATGAGTTGTTTTATGACAGGAGATCCTGATAAGGAACACGGAACTAATAAGCCACCACCAACCGGAAGAGTTTGGAAAAGGTCAAAAGGAGACACCGCGTGTCTGTCCACTTCCCAGAATCCCTCTCGCTAGCATCCATCTTGGCTGAGCGATGCATGCACCACCAGGAAAGACTGACTTAGAATGATTGGCCAAAGACCACCTGGAAACTAATCCCATCACCATAAAACCCGAGACTTCGAGCCACGTGGCAGAGCAGTTCTCCTGGGTTCCCTCACCCTCCTGCCCTCCACCCGGGTGCCCTTTCCAATAAAATCTCTTGCTTTGTCAGCACATGTGTCTCCTCGGATAATTCATTTCCAAGTGTTAGACAAGAGCCCAGTTTCGGGCCCTGGAAGGGGTCCCCCTTCCTGCAACACAGTGACAGGACAGTTGGTCTTATCTACGTGGAGACCTATATGGTCAGTAAAAGTCTTTGCTAAAATCAAGATACAGGTGAACCAACAATGTTCTGAAAAAAATTCTTTACTGAGTGCGTGCTCAGTTGCTTTAGTCATGTTCAACTCTTTTTGGCCCTACGGACTGTAGCCTGCCAGGACCTTCTGTCCATGGGATTCTCTAGGCAAGAATGCTGGAGTGGGTTGACATGGCCTCCTCTGGGGAATCTTCCTGATCCAGGGATCAAATCTGAGTCTTCTGCATTCCAGGCGGATTCTTTACCACGGAGCCACCTGGGAAGTCCCGTTTACTTTGTTGTGAAACTAAAATCAGTGGGTTTTCTCTTTGTCTTACCTGATTAGACTGAGTATACTATAAAACGCTATAGTGATGATTATACAAAATAGCTTCTCAGGTCAATGGTAATATATAAGGCAGTAAATTAATTTACCTGCTTCCAGCACTTTCGAGAAGTCAAAAGGAAAGAAAACAATGATTGTTTTGTCCCAGAAGAACCTTCCACTTATCCTGACAACCAAAATAAACCTGAAACCCCTGAGCGAGAGACCTGCATTTCCATCCTCACAAAGCTTCATGAAGCTTTGAGTATGAGCACACCTGTCGGTTTTCCCTGGAGTAGATGTAATTGTGGGGTTTCTACTTACTCTCATCATCCATCTCCTGCCCCATGGCACCCTTTTTCACCTTGGGAAGGAGGTGGGAATGAAAAAGAGGGGTGTTAATTGGGTTCTCAGAGTTTCCATCTCTTCTTTCATCTAGCCTTCCTAACTACTGCATTATAGCAAGTTTGGGCACACCCATTTGTGGACCAGGAGACTTTCTCCAGTTCAGTTCAGACACTGAGTCGTGTCCGACTCTTTGCGAGCCCATGAATCGCAGCATGCCAGGACTCCCTGTCCATCACCAACTCCGAGTTTACCCAAACTCATGTCTGTTGAGTCAGTGATGCCATCTAACCATCTCATCCTCTGTCATTCCCTTCCCCTCCTGCCCCCAATCCCTCCCAGCATCAGGGTCTTTTCCAATGAGTTACCTCTTTGCATCAGGTGGTCAAAATATTGGAGTTTCAGCTTCAACATCAGTCCTTCCAATGAACACTCTGGATTGATTTCCTTTAGGATGGACTGGTTGGATCCTCTTGCAGTCCAAGGGACTCTCAAGAGTCTTCTCCAACACCACAGTTCAAAAGCATCAATTGTTTGGCACTCAGCTTTCTTTATAGTCCAACTCTCACACCCATACATGACCACTGGAAAAACCATAGCCTTGACTAGATGGACCTTTGTTGACAAAGTAACATCTCTCCTTTTTAATATGCTATCTAGGTTGGTCATAACTTTCCTTCCAAGGAGTAAGTGTCTTTTAATGTCATGGCTGCAATCACCATCTACAGTGATTTTGGAGCCCCCCCAAATAAAGTCTGACACTGTTTCCACTGTCTCCCCATCTATTTCCCATGACGTGATGGGACCAGATGCCATGATCTTAGTTTTCTGAATGTTGAACTTTAAGCCAACTTTTCACTCTCCTCTTTCACGTTCATCAAGAGGCTTTTTAATTCCTCTTCACTTTCTGCCATAAGGGTGGTGTTATCTGCATATCTGAGGTTATTGATATTTCTCCCGGCAATCTTGATTCCAGCTTGTGCTTCTTCCAGCCCAGTGTTTCTCATGATGTACTCTGCATATAAGTCAAATAAGCAGGGTGACAATATACAGCCTTGATGTACTCCTTTTCCTATTTGGAACCAGTCTGTTGTTCCATGTCCAGTTGTAACTGTTGCTTCCTTACCTGCATATAGATTTCTCAAGAGGCAGGTCAGGTGGTCTGGTATGCCCATCTCTTTCAGAATTTTCCACAGTTTATTGTGATCTACACAGTCAAAGGTTTTGGCATAGTCAACAAAGCAGAAATAGATATTTTTCTGGAACTCTCTTGCTTTTTCGATGATCCAGAGGATGTTGGCAATTTGATATCTGGTTCCTCTGCCTTTTCTAAAACCAGCTTGAACATCTGAAGTTCACAGTTCACATATTGCTGAAGCCTGGCTTGGAGAATTTTGAGCATTACTTTACTAGCGTGTGAGATAAGTGCAACTGTGCAGTAGTTTGAGCATTCTTTGGGATTGACTTTCTTTGGGATGAGAATGAAAACTGACCTTTTCCAGTCCTGTGGCCACTGCTGAGTTTTCCAAATTTGCTGGCATACTGAGTGCAGCACTTTCACAGCGTCATCTTTCAGGATTTGAAATAGCTCAACTGGAATTCCATCACCTCCACTAGCTTTGTTCGTAGTGATGCTTTCTAAGGCCCACTTGACTTCACATTCCAGGATGTCTGGCTCTAGGTGACTGATCACACCATTGTGATTATCTGGGTCATGGAGATCTTTTTTGTACAGTTATTCTGTGTATTCTTGTCACTTCTTAATATTTTCTGCTTCTTTTAGGTCCATACCATTTCTGTCCTTTATCAAACCCATCTTTGCATGAAATGTTCCCTTGATATCTTTAATTTTCTTGAAGAGATCTCTAGTCTTTCTCATTCTGTTGTTTTCCTCTATTTCTTTGCATGGATCGCTGAGGCAGGCTTTCTTATCTCTCCTTGCTATTCTCTGGAACTCTCCATTCAAATGGGAATATCTTTCCTTTTCTCCTTTCTTTTCGCTTCTCTTCTTTTCACAGCTATTTGTAAGGCCTCCTCAGACAACCATTTTGCCTTTTGGCATTTCTTTTCCATGGGGATGGTCTTGATCCCTGTCTCCTGTACAATGTCACGAACCTCCGTCCATAGTTCATCAGGCACTCTATCAGATCTAGTCCCTTAAATCTATTTCTCACTTCCACTGTATAGACATAAGGGATTTGATTTAGGTCATACCTGAATGGTCTAGTGGTTTTCCCTACTTTCTTCAATTTAAGTCTACCAGTCAAAAACAGAATGTACCCTGTAAAACCTTCGTGCTCCTGCAGCCAGACAGTATGGATGCGTGGACCTGGGCCGACTCCGGGAAATACTCAACCCTGCGGGACCCAGAGGGTGCAGAAACACCCCTGTTGGGGATGCAACTAGGGGGAGCTTTGGGGTGATGCGCGCTGGCGGTGGGGACCCCGCCTCCCCTTCGCAGAGACGCTCCAGCAGGAAAGCGGGGCGGGGCAACGAAGGGGGATCGTCCCCTTTACCAGCCCAGCCAGCGCGCAGGCGCAGCGGTACACTCTGGCTGGAGTCCCGGGCCCACCCCCGAGAGCGCGGCTGCGCTCTGAACCGCGCGGGCCCTTTCTCCCGGAAGCGCGGCGCCAGGTCGCGCCACGTCTGTGCTGCACTTTCTCCGGGTCCCGCAGCTGCCGCCCCGCCCGCGCGGAGCGCACGCCCGAGCCGCGGCCCGCCGGACTGGACCGGGAGCATCATGGGTGGCGTGGTCCCGCGCTCAGCCTCCGCGCTGCCGCTGCTGCTACTGCTGCTGCTCCAGGCGGAGCGGCCGCGGGGCGCCGAGCTCACCTTCGAGCTGCCGGACAACGCCAGGCAGTGCTTCCACGAGGAGGTGGAGCAGGGCGTGAAGTTCTCCCTAGACTACCAGGTGAGCCCTAGGCGCCTCCTCTCTCTCCCGCTTCCAGGTCTTCAGTGGTCACTAGTGCGCCCCCGGCTGTAGTGGCTGGAATTAGCCAAAGAGGCTGCAGAATGGGGCGGGAATAACCAGAGACGAGGAAGTCAGAGCCCACCCGAGACGGGCCGACCAGCCAGGGAGGTAGCACCGCAGGTGCATGCCCAGGATGGGGATGCCCGGGGCGACTCTGGCTTCCTGCGGAGTTGCCCTGAATGACCTGAGAGCGCGTTGACTACAGAACGCCATCTCTGGCACCAGGCTCTCTGTCCCAACGTTTTTTGGACAGCTTTGTCCCCGCCTGTATTGAAAAATGGCAGCGAGAGGAAGTGGGTTCGTGGTTTTGTTTTTTCCCCTCTCTCCAGCGTTTGAAGTCATAGTTAGGGGGAGCGAGGGTGCTTTGGAAAGGAGTCCGCGCAGGCTTTGAGCCTGGCAGTGTTTACAAGGAGTGGTGTTGTGGCTGCTGCCATATGGCTCAGAAAAGCTCCAAGTTCCTGCACTTTTGGCTGCTGTGAGAGGTCTCAGGGCTCGCTGTTGGGATGTGGTGGGGGGCGCGGTAGGGAGCAGATAGTTCTTGAGTGAGAGAGCTGCAGATCTGAGTTTAGGCAATCCTACCCAGATATCCAGACAGGCGTCTGATCATGGACACATACTGGCAGGCATTACAGAGGGGAGGTGGCACGGGCAGCAAAGGGAGGGTAGGCAGTTTGATGGGCCCTCTCTGACCAAAACCACTAAAAGAGGCCGTGCGTGGGGACAGCATCATGTGTCCTGGCCTCTGAATCATTCATCTGGTTACTTGCACATTTGTGACAGTGTGCAAGCTGCAGCTGGGTAAACAGGGTCACCTAGATACAGTCGTCAAAAAAAAAAAAAATGATCCTTGTGGGACTTCACTGGTGGTCCAGTGGTTAAGAATCTGCCTTGCAGTGTAGGGGACATGGGTTCAATCCCTGGTCAGGAAAGTAAGATCCTACATGCTGCAGAGCAACTAATCCTGTGTGCCACAACGGAAGATCCTGTGGGATGCAATGAAGACACGATGCAGCCCAGTAAATAAATACATAAATAAGTATTTGAAAACAGAAAGGTTGTTGTGAGGCTGGAGGGGCCTGAGAGGTCATCAGGTCTGTGCTAGGTCAGAAACCCCTGTTATGGGTTCAGCATAAGTCTATACATGTCCAGCATTAGGAATCTCACTGATCACAAAGCAAATTCTTATCCATCTGTACGAAAGGAAATATTAATGTCTGGAAGCAGTTGGAGGCCTTTGACCGTGTTCTTTGCTGGACCTTAGTTCTAGTCTTTGGCCATCCCTGTGATTCTGCTCTTATCAGATCTTATCTTCCCTATGGTGAAAGAGTTTGAACCAATGACTCCCCTGGTAGTCACTGATTCTGTGAAGGCTTCAATCTGTATTCACCTTTCTCTTGCATTTCATCTGCAATAATATAAACCTCCAGAGCCTCAAGTTTCCTCTTCTGTAAAGTGGGGAGGATTAAGCTCTTTGCATCCTTTTTTCTTTTAAGATTTTTTTTTTTTGGATGTGGGCCATTTTTAAAGTATTGAATTTGTTACAATGTTGCTTCTGTTCTGTGTTTTGGTTGTTTGGCTGTTAGGCATGTGGTATCTTAGCTTCTTCACCAGGGATTGAACCTGCACTCCCTGCATTGGAAAGCAAAGTCTTTTTTAAAAAACTTTTTATTTTGTATTAGAGTACAGCCAATTAACAATGTTATGGTAGTTTCAGGTGAACTCAGGGACTCAGCTATATATATATCATGTATCCAGGAAGGCAAAATCTTAACCACTGAACCACTAGGGAAATCCCATGGCTGTTTGCACTCTTGCAGAGCAAAACTTTTGGAGTCAGTCAGACATGGATCCAAGTCTTAGCCCTGTTGCTTTCACACTGTGTGACATGAACAGTTCACATCAGCTCTCTCAGCCTCAGACTCATCTTCTGTGAATTGGGGAGTGTCATGGCACCTGCTTTAGAAGGTTGTGAAGACTAAATGAAAACAATGTTCGTGACATCTAATCACAGTGCCTGGTTGGCATTTGGTAAGTGATGGTTGCCCCCTGATAAAAAATGGCCTGTGGATCTCTTTTATGGTTGTCAGGTCATCACTGGAGGCCACTACGATGTCGACTGCTTTGTGAAAGACCCCCTGGGGAACATCATCTACAGTGAAACCAAGAAACAGTATGACAGCTTCACGCACAAGGCCGAGGTCAAGGGCGTGTATCAGTTTTGCTTCAGTAATGAGTTTTCCACCTTCTCTCACAAAACCGTCTACTTTGACTTTCAAGTGGGCGACGAGCCCCCCATTCTCCCAGACATGGGGAACAGAGTCACAGCTCTCACCCAGGTGAGTGGACATCAGCCCCAAGAGTCTGAGATGAACCCCCTCTTCCCGCCCCCACCCCCAGCCTGTTCCTCCTTGTCTGTCCTGGTCTTGGCTGATGAGCAGTCACCAGCCACCCACCTCCCAGTCTGAAGTCGCAGTATTCGCTCTGCCCCTGTGTTCACATCTAGTCCTAGAAGACCTCATGTTCCCCTTTTGGTCTTCCTCTCCATTCTTTAACGGTGTCCCTGCAGTACTTTCCTCTGGTATTCCCACGTTCCCATTTAGTCTGACGCAGCACCGCTCTCAAAGCACACACAGTACGTGCCTCTCTGCTCTTTCAATACATCTGAGCCAGAAAGACAAAGTCCTGCTTTGTATGGTATATCAGTTAAGGTAACACAAGCTGCTATCACAAGTAAATCCTAAATATCAATGGCTTAACACAATGGAAATTTTGATTCTCACTCAAACAATAATCTGGAGAGTGGGGGTGGGGGTGGAGGACTCTTCTCCGTGGAGTAACTTAGGAAGCCAGGCTCCTTTCTGGTCATCTTTCCACTGTCCCTTAGGGCTTCAGAGTCCTGTGTTTCTTGCCACCAAAAAATGGGGAGAATGAGAAAGCCCCACCTGCTTTTTAAAAGCCCTGGCTCAGAAGTGACACCATCACCCCTGCTCATGTCTCATTGTTGAGAAAGTCATGTGGACAGTCTGGATGGATGGAAGGAAGGCTGGCATATACAGTCCCGTTAGGCAGTTGACCCCTAGTAACAGCTCCACATCCTGACAGAGAAATGGTGACACTTTTGGAGGACAGATAGTCATCTGTGTCACCCGTGGCTCTCACAGTTAACTGTAATTCAACCTCAGCCTCCTCCATTGGTCTCTCCTGCTGCTCAAGCTCCTGCCTTCCATACCCAGACTCAGGCTGGAACTCTTGTGTTATTTACCCCTGGGCCCTCACTGCCCCCGGTGCATGGAGTGTGGCACAGAATCGGAGCTCACCAAATATTTGTCGAGCGACTGAGTGGCAGGACCCAGGAAAGCCCCCAAGACAAGAATGACCATCTGTGGCTGCACCTGTCCCAGAACCGAAGCCAGAGCATCTGAGTCTGTGGTGAGACCAGGTCACCTTCTGGGCTGCCCTCCAAAGTGACCACAGGCTCCGTTCCTCTGTGACTTTGGTGTTGGGTTTATTCTCTGAGCAGCTGGAGGTTAGTACTGCACTGTGTAGTCAGTAAACACTGTCTGCTTAGGGCTATTGACATTAATGTTAAATTAAAATTCACTTCTTTGTTTGCTCTGTAGCAACACATCTGTCTAGTGCTCAGTAGTCCCAAGTGGCTGGTGCCCATACGTGGAGAGTTCTGCTGGACCTCATTGCATTTGAACTTGGCAACATGAGTGCTGATAGACAGTCCAGCCCAGGGTGTGTCTTTATGTGTAAGAGCTTTCACAACATGTCCTCTCAAGAGTTCTGTTGGTCATTGATGAAATAGCTTCTGTTCTGAAGATTTTGTAAGTTTCCAGGAGCTGTGTGTATGCTCAGTTGCTCAGTCATGTCCGACTCTTTGCCTCCACATGGACTGTAGCCCACCAGGCTCTGTCCATGGGACTCTCCAGGCAAGAATACTGGAGCAGGTTGCCAATTCCTCCTCCAGGGAATCTTTCTAACCCAGGATCAAACCCACATCTCCTCCTTCGACTGCATTGGCAGATGGATTCTTCATCACTGTCGCCACCTGAGCTGAGAGATTTGCGTCTTGAAACAGTGGGAAAGAAACCAGTAGAGAAAAGGCTTTGTGGATTAGTGCAGTTGTTCAGTTGCTCAGTTGTGTCTGACTCTTTGCAACCTCATAGACTGCATACCCCAGTCTTCCCTGACCCTCACCATCTCCCAGAGTTTGCTCAAACTCATGTCATTGACTCAGTGATGCATCCAACCATCTCATTGTCTGTCTCCCCCTTCTCCTGCCCTCAGTCTTTCCCAGCATCAGGGTCTTTTCCTGTGAGTTGGCTCTTTGCATCAGGTGGCCAAAGGATTGGAGCTTCAACTTTAGCATCAGTCCTTCCAGTGAATATTCACGGTTGATTTCCTTTAGGATTGACTGAGCACACACTGTCCTAGGAACTCTCAAGACTCTTCTCCAGCACCACAATTCGAAAGCATCAGTTCTTCGGTGCTCAGCCTTCTTTATGATCCAACTCTCACATCTGAACATCACTACTGGAAGAACCATAGCTTTGACTGTATGGCCCTTTAGCCAGTAGAGAATAGGCTATGTGGGTTAGGGCAGTAGAGACATTCTTTCCTGGAGCCTCAGAGTTGCGTTTTGTTGCAGGAGAGATTGCACTTGCTGCTTCTGCATCTGGGGACCTCATCCTTCCTTCTGCCCAGACGCAGAAGAGACATTTCCTTCTACTTTGGTCTTTTCTCTAGTTGCAGCAAGCAGGAGGCTACTCTGGTTGCAGTACACAGGCTTCTCAATGCAATGGCTTCTCTCGTTGCAGAGGATGGGCTCTAGGGCAAGTGGGCTTTGGTAGTTGCAGCTCCCGGGCTCTAGAGCACAGGCTCAGTAGTTGTGGCACACAGGCTTAGCTTGCCCCGTGGCATATGGGATCTTCCCAGACCAGGGATTAAACCCACATCTCCTGCATTGGCAGGCAGCTTCTTTACCACTCAGCCACAAGGGAAGTCCCAGAGCTGTGATTTAAGGGTGAGGGTTCTCAGGGAAGGGACTTCCCTTGTCTCTTCCAGGAGGTTTGGGGAAGTCTTCGCAGGGAGAGTCTTAGCTGACAAGTGACAGTGTGAGTGCTTGCCCAGGAGCATGTCTGGCATGGGAGGACAGAAGCCCTCCCAGGTGACAAGAACAGCAGATGCAGTTATTCAGGGCATCACTTTCCTCTTGGGCCCTGATCTTAACTTTGCTCAGCACAGATCCCCTCTCTGCCTGCAGCTGTCACGTCTCTTCCCCTGAGGCTTCGTCCAGGTCAGCACTGAGCCAGAGGCTGTGTGCTCTGGCACTAGTATCAGCCTCAGGGGGAAAGAACAGGACCCAGAGTGACCGAGTCCCAGGCAGGAGGAACTGTCTTCACCCTGAGTTCCAGAACGACCAGGCTTCTAACAGAGGTGTGGGCCAGGATTTCTGCTGAGGGAGGCCAAGCTTGAAGTGCCCCCAGCATCCCGAGAGTCTGGGTAGGTCCTAGGGGAGACTGGAGGCTTCTGACAGAGGTCCAAGGTCCAGGACTGCCTTGGTGGTGGTCGAGGGAAGATTCAAGTTTCCCTGACTCTACTCTGAGGCCAACTCACATGACACTCCCTTTGAGTTCTTCAAGAATTTAAAGAACCAAGTACAGTAAGTCTCCTATATATGAACAAGTTTTGTTCTGAGAATGCATTCATAAGTCCAGTTTGTTCCTAAGTCCAACAAAGTTGGTCTAGGTATCCAACTAACACAATCATCTATATAGGTTTATAATACTCTTCACACAAATAATACATAAAAAACAAACACAAAAAATAAAGGAAACATTTTTAATCTTATAGTACAGTACCTTGAAAAGTACAGGAGTACAGTACAACAGGTGGTACACAGGGGCTGGCATCAAGTGAACAGGCAAGAAGAGTTACTGTCTGGAGGAGGGAGTGGACTTGGGAGATAGTAGAGCTGAAGGGTCATCAGCAATAGGAGACAGAGGGTAAGCTGCACTGTCATGCCAGACGTTGATGGCATGCACATTTGCATCTTTGAAAGTTTGCAACTTGAAGGATCATATGTAGGGAAGTTGCTTTTATCTGTGGAGGCCCTGAAGAGGTGAGGCTGAGTGAATTTCCTGACAGTTACAGAATGAAGACCTGGGCACCAGCAGGTGGTGGAGATAGCATGGGAGTGGGCATGGGATGCAGGAAAGGGATGGTCCTAGGGGTGGAAGGATCGGTCAGAGTGTCTCCAGAGACCACCTGTCGGGATGGAGTAGTGCCCACCATCCCCATGAGGCTTCGGGACACTGGGAACTAGCCGGGCTGGAGGTCTCAGCAAGGTGAAAGTCACACTCTGGGAGAGCTGGGGACCCCTGGCCCTGGGCAAACAGCTGTTTGCAACAAAAGGGCCTCTGCTGGCTTCCTGCTGGGCAGGAAGCAAGCTGGCTAGGCTGCTTAACTGAAACTTTGTGGGAACAAGCGGAATTGGTGTCTTAGGCAGACAACAACGGCAGGTCCCTGAGGACGGGGAGGAGGGATGTTCCTCCAGTAAGGGGCTGCTCTCAGTGTCTGTGGATCTTGGTGTCATGTTGCTTTCGGTCTCTGGGGGCCCATGCTAGGTTTTGAAGGGGTTTGCTGGTTCCAGACGCCAGGAAGATTGTAGAACACCACCTCTTGTTCTGTTACCTCTGAGGACTGACCTCCTTCCCTCAGATCGGTCAGGACTGACCCAACCTCAGATTGGGTCTGAGGTTGTTCCTATAAAGGTCTGAGGTTGTTCCTGTAAGGCCTCAGGCCCTCTTCAGAGACTCGTGGTGCTGTTCTGGCCGGTGACATGTGAGCCAAGCCTCTGAAATTATGCCTTCCATGGCACATGTGACATGTCCTCTGCCCGGGACGTCTGCACCTGTGATTTCTGTGTCCTCCTCTGTCTCTCTTCCTCCCTGCCAACCCCAACCTCACTCCTTCTCCAGTGACTCTCGACTCTGGGAGGAGGCTGGAGGTATCAACCTGTACTGCTGAATGCTCAGGCCAGGGCCCAGGGGTCCTAGGAGCACCCAGTTCAAGTGAATGAAATGTACACCTTGGGTTTCTGAATGAGTGTGCGATGGAAGTAAACACAGGATGGAATTCTAGCCTGGAAAGCCAAGGAGCCCTTCCCTTGTATTTAAAAAGCAAAATGTGGATTTATACATATTGAACGTGTGTGTGCATATATGTACACATGCATATGCATGCATATACACATGGCCATTCATATGCAAGTATACACATATATATGTGTATCTCTGTCCATCCCACTGATTTCATCCCACTGATTTTTAGAGATGTGTTACCAAGTCTCTAAATGGCTCCCAGATCCACTCATCTTTAAAAAAAAAAAAATTATTTTGACTGTGCTGGGTCTTAGTTACAGCAAACAGGATCTTTAGTTTCGGCATGTGGGATCTAGTTCCCTGACCAGGGATAGAACCCAGGATCCCTGCATTGTAAGCGCAAAGTTTTAGCCACTGGACCACCAGGGAAGCCCTAGCTTCTAGCTTCTTAAATTGAACTTTATGAACAGTTCACCTTTCCAGTTTGGGAAGCAGTTGTCTGTTGGGTGCTTATGAACTTCTGTAGCACATGAACCCATTGTCCATATAGAGTTTTCTAGGTTTTGAATGAAATGATGTTTTAGAGGTTGCCAGTGAGTAAGGACTCATGTTCTTTCACAGGCATAGTGTCTTAGTTTTCCATTGCTGAGTCAGTAATTACTGCAAATGGCTGAAAATAATAGCCATTTATTATCTCACAGTTCTAGAGGCTTTGCTCAAGTTCTCAGGGCTGAAATCAAGGTCCTGGTGGGTTTGGGCTGTCCTCTGGAGACTCCGGGGCATCTCACACTCAATGAGGTGGTTGGCAGAATTGAGTTCCTTGCAGCTGGCTGTCACGCTCTCTGCTCTTAGAGTTCTTTCTCTGTTCCTTGCTTGTGACCTTCTCCATCTTCAGAGCCAGCAGCAGTGCCCTGAATTCTCCTGTGTCCAGCCTCTCTGACTTCTTCAGCTGTCAGCTTGAGAAATCGCCCTGTTTTGAGGGGTCTCAGGCCCCCTGGATAGTCTCAGCTATGACATATAATCGTCATAGTCACAGCTTATTGTATTCACAGCTTCCTAGGGTTAGAGCAGGGACTTTGTTAGTGGTGGTGGGGAAATAGTCAAAATTCTGCTGGCTACACATGGCAGTTTAGCAAGTAAAGGAAGTTGTGAAGTAGCACGTTACATGTGAGTGTATGCATTTGTATGTGCTGACGGACACACATGTCTGTGTCTTTGCCCTCATTTGTATGTGTGTGTGGGTCTATGTACATGAGAAATGTATGTTTTCATTTATTTGTATGTATGCCTAGAAGTGTAGGCAGGAGTTTTGTAATAGAATGAGCGGTAGATTCAGAAATAAAGTGAAGGTGTCAGTCTCTCAGTCACATCCGACTTTTTTGCGACCCCATGGCCTGTAGCCCCCCAGGCTCCTCTGTCCAAGGCAAGAATACTGGAGTGGGTAGCCATTCCCTCCTCCAGGGGATCTTCCTGACCCAGGAATTGAACCCGAGTCTACTGCATTGCAGGCGTCTTTACCATCTGAGCCACCAGGGTAGGTTCGGAGTCCAGATGGAATTTATGTCGTGCCCTGCCATTAATTTGCTCTGTGACGTTGGGCAAGTCACGTAGCCTCTCTGAGCCTCAATTTCCTCATTAATATGTGCAGTAAGCAATCAGTCAGCCCTCCTTAGCACTGGGGGTAATGATCCCGGTCTGTCAGGGATATGGTAAGTATTAAATAAGAGGGCGGGAAAAAAAAAAGAACACAGGGCAGTGGTTGAAAGCATAGTCTCAGGACTCAGACAGTTGAGTTTAAATATTATTTATTTATTTATTTGCCTGCACCAGATCTTAGTTGTGGCATGTGGAACCTAGTTCCCCAACCAGGGATTCAGCCCAGGTCCTGTGCATTGGGAGCAGCCCTGACAGTTGAGTTTATATGTGGCTTCCCTGGTGGCTCAGATGATAAAGAATCTGCCTACAATGCGGAAGACCCAGGTTCGATCCCTGGGTTGGGAAGATCACCAGGAGAAGAAAAATGGCAACCCACTCCGGTATTCTTGCCTGGAGAATCCCATGGACAGAGAAGCCTGGAGGGCTACAGTCCATGGGTCACAAAGAGTCAGACACGACGGAGATGCGACTAACACTTTCACACTTCTGCCATCTCCTAGCTCTGTGACTCTGGACAAGTTACTTGACCTTTCTGAACCTCAGTTAGGCTTATTATGAATAAAACCGTGTCAGACCCTTCACGCAGACACATCGTTAGCACTCAGTAGTACCTAGGATGTTGATGACAAAGTTTGCTTTGTGTGTGCCAGTTTCCAGTCTTCTTTTCTAAAGGTCAGCAGCGACCACTTTTCTCTTCCCGCCCAGATGGAGTCCGCCTGTGTGACCATCCATGAGGCCCTGAAGACAGTGATCGACTCCCAGAAGCATTACCGGCTCCGAGAGGCACAGGACCGGGCCCGCGCAGAAGACCTCAACAGCCGAGTCTCTTACTGGTCCATCGGCGAGACCATTGCCCTATTTGTGGTCAGCTTCAGCCAGGTGCTGCTGCTAAAAAGCTTCTTCACAGAGAAACGGCCCATCGGCAGGACGGTCCACTCCTAGTGGGGGTGCTCTGCTCCCAAGCCCCTTGCACCCCGGGACAGAGCAGCCCCCCCGGGCCTCAGGCTCCTGCGGGCTGGTGGGTGTACCCCAGGGTGGATGCCCTGTCACCTCACCTTCTAATCAGATGCTTGGTCCTTGTCCTCCAGCAGCTGGAGCTCATAGAGCCCAGTTAGCAGGAGGCATCGAGCTGCCTTATGTGTGCAACAGTGAGTGCAGAAAGGGTCTGACCAGGCAGGGACTGGCTACTGTGGGGGGCAGGCAGGCCGCCATCCAGTGGCCTGGCCAGCAGGAGAAACCCCAAGTGCCCCGTTCTCCAAGGCACAGCTCAGGGCTCTCTCTTTTTGCTCCATGACACACAGCCCATTTGGCTTCTGTGTCCTCTCCCCTGTGGAAAAGACTGGGCCCTGAGTTTGGGCTTCCTTCCCTTGAGCTCTCTGTATCTGTGGAAACCAGGCACTGAAGCGGCTTTGCAGAAACCCTACCCAAAGGGAACCCTGGAATCAGCCCTGGAAGCAAGAACAGGATGGTAGCTGGGTGCCTTGGCTGGCTATGTATCTCCTCGGAGGTGGGACTCCGGCTAATAAAATCTGAGTGTGAGCACCATAGAGACTTGTGTCTTTCTTTCTTTTTTTTAAAATTAATTTTCTTAGGCGTTGTTCAGTTATTAAGTCGTCTCCGGCTCTTTGTGACCCCATGAACTGTAGCCTGCCAGGATGCTCTGTCCCCCACTATCTCCTGGAGTTTGCTCAAACTCATGTCCATTGAGTCAGTGATGCCATCCAAATATCTCATCCTCTGCCGCACCCTTCTCCTTTTGCCCTCAGTCTTTCCCAGCACCAGAGTCTTTTCCCAGCATTGGGGTCTTTTTTAGGTGTAATATTTTATTATTTTTAATTGGAGGATAATTGTTTTGCAGTTGGTTTCTGCTGTACAACAACATGAGTCAGCTGTAAAGCGTACATATATCCCGACCTTCTTGGACCTCCCTTCCACCCCATCCCACCCTTCGAGGTGATCACAGAGCACCGAACTGAGCTCCTTGTGCTAGACAGCAGCTTCCCATCAGCTCCCTGTTTTACCCATGGCAGTGTCTATGTATCAGTGCTACTGCTACTGCTACTGCTAAGTCACCAGTCACGTCCGACTCTGTGTGACCCCATCCCTGGAATTCTCCAGGCAAGAACACTGGAGTGGGTTGCCATTTCCTTCTCCAATGCATAAAAGTGAAAAGTGAAAATGAAGTCACTCAGTCATGTCCGTTTCTTCGCGACCCCATGGACTGCAGCCTACCAGGCTCCTTCGTCCATGGGATTTTCCAGGCAAGAGTACTGGAGTGGGTGCCATTGCCTTCTCCGATGTATCAGTGCTACTCTCCCAGTTTGTCCCATCCTCTCCTTTCCCCGCTGTGTCCACAAGTCTGTTCTCTAAGTCTGCTTCTCTATTCCTGCCCTGCAAACAGGTTCACCTGTACCATTTTTCTAGATTCCACATATATGTGTTAATATATAATACTTGTTTTCTGACTTCACTCTGTGTAACAGGCTCTAAGGTCATTTTTTTTTATTAATTTTTTATTGGTGTATAATTGCTTGACAACATTGTGTTAGTTTTTCCTGAGCAGAAAAGTGAATCAGTTGTACATACACATATATCCACTCTTGGTGTCCCTAAAGAAGCTCACAGCTTAGTGGGGATCACTGGCATGCATATAAATAATTAGAGTGTGACAGAGCAAGGGATGCTTCAGAGATGGGTCTGTGTGGATGTTTGTGGAGGGGGCAGTAAGTTACTCTCCTCTCAGCTGAATGAAAACAGTGAAGTAGGGAGCTGGTGACTTCATGGTCTCAGACTCTAGTGGTTACTCTGAATGACTGAGCCATCATTTCATTTAAATATAGGGGCTCAGAACAGAAAAAGAACAGTACTGAGTGGCTGTCTCAAGGTCATGTCCACAGCAGCCACAGTGGTCTCCTTAAAATGTAAGTCAGATCCTTCTGGTCAGAACCTTCCCTGTGTCGTGCATGTTCCTCTCAGTTCACGGCTAAGTCCCCACCGTGGTGGTGAAGTCCTGGAGCACCTGGTGCCTCAGCCTCTGGCCCTGGGAAGCCCCTACTCTATGCCATCCACTCTCTCCTTTCATGTCCTCCTGGCTTGCTATTCCCATCACACCCGGCCATGCCCCTACCCCAGGACCTTTGCACAGACTGTTTCCTCTGTAAGAACACCTCCCTGTTACCTGCATGAGCTCCTCCTGACCAGTGTCATGTTAGCTGTGAGGTCTCCCCTCATGACTATTTAACATGGCATCGTCTCACGTGGCCCTGGCCGTCCGTGTCTGTCTTGGCTTTACTCCTCTGTATGTCATGTATCACCACCCACAGATAGGTTTACTTGTCTGCTTATTGTCGTGCTTACCTCATAAAGATGCAGACTCCATGAAGGCAGGGCCTTTGTTTACTGCTGTATTCCTAGTGTGTAGAATAACGCCTGATAGATGCTAAGCTCTTAATATGTGTTAGTTGTTAGATGAACAGCCTTTCCCATTAGTAAAAAGCAAATGCATACTGATCAAATATCTAAATAGTAGGTCTTGAGGGCAGATATCATCTTTCCTAAAAAAAAAAACAAAAAACCCACAAATCTGAAATCCTAAGATGTTTTAAGTGTTTCTAGTGCCATGTAGGGAACAAAATAAACAGTCCCCCTGGAAAGAAACTCTGTAACACTTACTTAGCTTGAAAGATAAATCCTATTTATACCTGTTCATAGAGTTTTGATGGTATTTCTTCTCTCTTAAAGTTAAGTACCAAGTATAGATAAGAGATTTTTAATGAAGTATGTTTGGAGTATTCGTTGGTGTGTAAGTTGCTCAGTCATGTTTGACTCTCTGTGACCCCATAGACTCTAGGCTGCCAGGCTCCTCTGTCCATGGAATTCTCCAGGCAAGAATACTTGAGTGGGTTGCCATTTGTCTTCCTCCAGGAGATCTTCCCGACCCAGGGATCAAACCTGTGTCTCCTGCACTGACAGGTGGATTCACCACTGAACCACCAGGGACTTTCCCCATGTTTGGAGTATAGTGATAAACAGTATAACACATCCTTATGTTCCACTACCTGGATTAACCAATATAATATGACTGGTTCCTCTTAGAAGCTCCCTGATGCTCTGTGCCCACCTCTCCTGCATTTTGCCTTGAGGCTCCCATGCTCCCCACCCACCTTTTAACATGATTTCAGTGGCAGCAGCCAGGCCACAGGTGCCTTGTGTAGGCCACAATCAGGGCAGATTGGAGGCCCTGCCTCAGGATGCGAGTGGTGGTTGACCAACTGCCCTAGGGCATCTCCTCTTCCCTGTCCTCCCCTCCCTAAGGGGAGAACACCCCTCCCTAAGGGGTGATGGATTAGAAACTAAGGCTGCTTTCATCCCCAGACTCTTCTTTCTGAGAGTGTAAAGTGAGCATTGAGGGCTTCCCTGCAGGTCCAGTGGTTAAGAATCTGCCTGCCAATGCAGAGGACACAGGTTCTGTCTCTGGTCCAGGAAGATCCCTGTGCTGTGGGACAACTAAGCCCATGCTCCACAACAGGAGAAGCCACCACAATGAAACGCCCATGCACCGCATCTAGAGAGTAGCTGCCCCCATTCGCCGTAACGCTGAAAGCTCGAATTCAGCAATGAAGACCCAGTGCAGCCAAAAATAAATTTAAAGTAAATCAATAAAATAAAGTGAACAGTGAACAAGCTACCAAGTATTGGGTTAGCCAAAAATTCATTTGGGTTTTTACGTAAGATGTTTTGAAAACTCAAAAAACTTTTTGGCCAACCCGGTATCAGATAATGAGGGTTACTCATTGTGATACTCCTTCCTGGGGAATATCCTTCCCCCGACACCTCCTTAACTTCTCTAGGGAGACACCAACCAGAGCCTGGTCTTTAGCACTTGCTCATAAAACATCCCAGACCCCAACAGAACATGCATACCCAGGCAGAAACAACCAGACTCCCAAGATGAACAAAGAAGAAACACGACCCCTTGACCACCATCCAAACTATTGTTTGAAGCAAAATTGTTGGATCATGTGGAGCCAAATTATTTTTTACACATTTTTCTTCTTATACTTTTTTCTTTTTTAATTTATTTGTTTTTGATTAGAGGGTAGTTACAATATTGTGATGGTTTCTGCCATACATCAATATGAATCAGCCATAGGTATAGATATGTCCCCTCCCTCTTGAACCTCCCTCCTATCTCCCACCCCATCCCACCTCTCTAGGTTGTCCCAGATCTCCGTTTTAAGTAACATAGTAAATATACTCTAAAAGAGAAAGTGTTATTTACTCAGTTGTACCCAACTCCGTCGAGAGACGCCGGGACGCACCCAGGCCAGGACAAGGTCACAAGATGAGAGAGGAACCCAGTTTGTCCCCTTTCTCTTTCTGTCTTACTGTTATTGTGCTTTCTACTAAATCTTGGAAATGTAATATGTAGTAATCAGGCCTCCCTGGAATGACCCCAAAGCCTAGACCCATCATGCCTCCAGGTCACTGAGAGCCTTATGAGCAACCAGGAATGAAAGGTTTATTTAGATATCTCACAGATCCTCCTCTTTGGACAAATAGATATGAAAGGGTGGTATGTAGCCATGGATTTGGTCAGTGTAGTTTTCCACAGTATAGAAATGCTCATGATTGCTCCTGCCCAGGACATGACCATAGTCACCAAGCCCAACGATCTGTGCCCAAGCCGAGGGTATGGCTATGGGCAGAAATAAGGAAAAGGCCACAGGTATAGATCAGCTGTTTGCTTAGTAGATTAAGATATTCCAGATTAGAAAAGAGTAAAGACATTTAGATTCAGAAGTAGATGTACTGCTTCAGTTTACTTGCTCCTTGGTTGAGAGGGTTTTCATTGTTGCTATTTCAGTGCTGCTATTTGTCCACTGTTTCCATTCCCTTAATAAACATAGAACATTACACGTATTTTTGTAGAATTAGAAAAT